TATTTTTGATGTCTCTAGCAGGTGTTGGTTTAATAGGTTTGCTGTACTACAGCTCGCTGGGTTTTTTTTGTGTGAGGCCAGCCAGGCCTGTAAGCTGACACTACATGAAGGCCAGGCGTGTGACTTCTCCCTGCCTTCAGCCCCACTTCACACCAAACACTGCGCTGCAGCCTCCTGGCAGCCAAGGCAGCCTCTGCTCAAGCTTTGTCCAAAGCAGGAGGTTTTGTGCTGGTTGTATTTAAATCAGGCCGGGCCGAGCCCCTGGTCGTCCTGTCTGGGGTCTGCTGGCTTTGATTTCCCGCTGTCAGCTTCCTAACGGGCAGCTGCTGAGGGGAAGGGAATGTGGCTCCAACAACAAAGGAGCCTGTTTGCCCTGCTCTCTGCATCCATTTCACACACGTAGTTTGAAGCCCCAGTCTAAATGAAACTGATTAGTGTTCTCCAAAGGACAGGCTTGCTGCAAAGAGGAAGGTGAATTCTTGTCCTATTAGGTCTAGTGGAAAATGTTTCACAGACTGTTTATCAAATAAATATTCACGAAGAGGCTTCGAACAAGGAAACCCACCGGGATTAAAGTGTAACTTTACCTCTAAAATACAAGCTGAGATTCCTGGAAATGCTGCAAGCTTTTGACTTTGTGCCACCTGTTGTTTCCCTGCCACCCCCTTCGGCTCCTTCCCGACTCAGAGCAAACCCAAACAGGCTCTGGCTTTGCTGGGACGATTCGCTTGTTGTTCCGTCTCGCAGCGGCCCAGAGCTGCTTCCTGAGGTGCTCCTCACGGGCTTGGTGTGGCACAGAGCTGGCTGAGGTCAATCCCAATCTCTTGGAATCCCAAGGGTTCTACTCAAGAGCCGTGCAAAGTGCAAGGGCTTAAGAGGTTGTGCTACTTTGGGGTGCTGAAACAGGGCATGAATTGAGCAGTGGTGGCTGGAGGGAGCTGCCCGCAGCTCTCCTGAGGAGAGGGGCTCTTCATGAGAGTGTCCAACAACAGGACAAGGGGAAATGGTTTTAAACTGAATAAGAGTAGGTTTAGATTGGGTCTTAGGAAGAAGTTCTTCGGTACAAGGGTGACAAGACTCTAGAATAGATTGCTCATAGGGTTTGTGGATGACCCCTCCCTGGAGGTGTTCAAGGCTAAGTTGGATGAGGCCTTGGGCAACCTGGTCTAGTTGAGAGGTATCCATGTCAGGGAGGTTGGATTAGATGACCTCTAGAGTCCCTTCTGACCTAAGCCATTCTGTGATTCCTCTCTCAGCTTGCTGCTGTAGTGGGTGATGACCTGAGGGCAGAGCCCTTCCTGAACTAGTGCTGTATGTGCACAGCTCAGAGCGTGGAAGTAATTCACTGCTGAATTTGAGTTACCTTAGTTTTGCACTAACATGTTACAGTTCAAGATCTGTGTTGGCTGCAGATGGGGCGTCTCTGGGATTGAGGTTGGGTATGAACTGGGAAGTTCAACTGTTTTTGCCAGATCCTCCCATATTTATGAGCAAACCCAAATGAACTTGGATGGGCTCCTTAGTTCCTGTGATTTTTCACTTGATCTCTCACTCCAAGTTCTTAGTCCTCAGTGAAGGCAGTCCTGCATCGTCCTAGTCCAGTACTACATTCCCATGCACGTTGGTATCCCAGAGGGAGAGAGGGGTTAAGAAACTTGCCCAAGGCAGACAAGTCAGTGCCAGAACTGGGAATGGAAACTAAGAGACTTGGCTCCTGCTCAGGGCTCTCTAATTGCACAAGCTCCCATCGAAGCCCTGTCATCGTATACTCTTGAGGTAACACTGGCTGAAGTGAGACAGGGAAAGCTGTTTCCAGGCTGTGATACCTAAGGAGTGGGGAGAGGAAAAGACACCTGGAGGCAAATTGGTTGTGGAAGCACTGCTAATTTGAGCTTTAAAGCCAGGTTTGGGCAATTGGTACTAAAATCTGATCCGTCACCTTTGAAACCAACTAAGCGTAAACGAAGGAAGGAGCTAGCTGGGAAAAATCCAACCCTTTTCCAGGCAGTGCTGAGGGGGAGTGGGGAAGTCAGGACGTCACTGGACTTTTTTTCCGTAAAAACCCTTGCGATGAGCTCGGGAACAAAGGCAGAGGAGCTGAGTGGATCCAAGTACTGACAGGGAGGGTTAGACGACACCAGCTCTCGCTGGCAGAAGGCTTGGAGGGTGTTGTATTTACATCTCACACGCCGTGTATAGGAGCCGTCAGTGGGGCTGGGCTGGTTTGCAGTGCAGTGCTGTGAGAGGCTGCAGCGCTGTGCAGAGAACCCTCTGACATTCCCCAGCTGGGACTGGCTGCAGATGCTGTTTGGAGCCCAGAGCTACATTTGGAGTCAGCCCATGTTTGAAGGAGAAAGAGGGAGAGAAAGGAGCCTCTTTTTTTTTTCTTTTTCTTTTCCTGTGTAAAATAATGCATCCATCTAATCTGCCAGCTGTAGCATGTGAAAAGCAAGAGGTGAACGGACAGAACTCACCTGGAAACAGCAAATATGCCTCAAACAAAATACTTCTTTCCTGTTCTTTCCTGTGCTTTTCTTCCCTTCTTAAAGTCTGCCTTCTGGGACAGGCTGGGAGATCTGGCAGGCAGTTTGGATATGTGTGGAGCAACTAAAGCACAGAAATATTAATACTCAAAAAAAAAAACCAAACCCAAAAAACATTGGCTTCTGAGGAGCACTTCACGTCCAAACTCACTCTGTGCTCTCAGTCCCTTGCAGACTTAGCTGCCCTGTGCAGGGATTGTCAGGTAATTGATAGATTCTCCACCTTCCTTTGTACAAGCCTTCATTTCCTGTTAATTTATGGCCCCTCGCAGCCTGGATGAGATCAGAGTTGAACTTGCAGCCCCTGCTTCAGGAGAGCTCCAGAAAACATGCTTGGGGATTGCTTTCACTTACTTCTGTGTTGAGGTACTTCACTGAATCAGGGTCACACACACACTTAAGGAACTCTCTTCTTCTGGAGAGGAGAAAAGATTGACATTTTTGAACTTGCTGATTCTACTAGTTGAGTTCATTGCAAAAGAAACTAGTCCTTGGGGAAAAGAAACCCCCCTCACTCATGTGTTCAGTTTATGGAGGTCACAAAATTCTGTGTACAGTGAAGTGAATTTTCCTGTGTTTTAGTCTTACTACAGTATAAATTCACTGGACCTCTGTCCTACTGTGTGCATAGATGTGAAAATTCAGTCTTTATTTTAGGTGTAAATAAATGTTGATCATTTGGATGGCAGCCATATTATTGCCTTTTACACAACATGTAGTTGTAGAGAGCTGTGTGCCTGTATCCCACGGAGTAACCAGTTTGGGGACATAAATTGTGACTTTTCTTTGATTTTCTTAAAATCTTTCTGCAACATATTAGGAGCACAGTGCTACAGGGATGTAAAATTCATCCTCAATCTTTTGTGATCCTGCACTGAATTAATTAAGTAGCATTTACACTTTCTAGTCAAAGCAGCATTTTTGCAAATTTTTCCCCAATGTAAGCAAGGGTCATGTGCTGGCTGTTGAAAGGGTGAGTCTCCAGAAAGCAAATTGTTACAGGGGTGCAGTTTTTACCCTCTTCCTATTACAGACATCAGCAAATGTGATGGTGCAACAATCTGGTTTTAATAGCAGGAAGGGTAAAGGAGCAGATCACAGTGTGGGGAGCAGGTCCCTTGCCGTGCGCTGTTGGTGTTGGTGTTTTCTTTTGGGAGGAGAGGTTTTCTTTGAAAGGGACTTGTCTGAACCCCCGGGAGGGCCTGAAATGGGAGAAGGAGCTCCTAGACACCCATCAGCTTCAGTGCCTGGAAGGCTGTGGTCAGCTCATCCTCAGTTTTGTGTTTAAAGGGCTGAGCTGGGACATCCTGGCACGGGAGAGCGCTTTCCTGGCTGCTCTCTCCTCTGCTGGTTACTCAGTGGGCAGCCGCCAGATGAAGGCACAGGACTTGTCTGAACTCCCTCTGCTATCTCTTATTATTCAGCAAGTTCTCAAGTGTCTGGTGAGCGTCTCTGTTTGGAGTGCCTCACTCACAGACCTGCCAGTAATACCAGTGACTGCTCTGAATTCACGTCAGGCGTCTGCTCTACTCCTTGTGACTAATGCACAATCTGTTTTTTTAATTGATTTCTGTGCTCTCTACTGATTGAGACCTGAAAGGAGTCAGAGGAAAGGACTTGGGTGATTTCTAGTTAGACCTTTTTGAGTACAGGGTCTAGAGGTATTTAACTGTTTGATGGCTCTGGAAACCATGGGAACAGCTTTTAGTACTTTCTTTAAAGAAAAACATTATACTCCTTGAGGCCAGTCCTGGTCAAGCAGCAGATGCAGGTGATTGCTGCAGGGTCTGACCCTGCAGTTGGTGCCTGGGCAGAGCACTGGCACTGCAGAGTTGTCCCAGTTGCACAGTGGGACAAAGGTGGCAAAAGATGAGGAAATATTTGCAACCCCTCTTAAAGTATTTCCGTGTATTACAAATCCTTGTAACATAGTCCCAAGCTGGGAATTTTCGGAAGAATCCTTTAGGGGTTAAGGAAACAATGTTTTGTAACTTTTGCAAAGTTGTATTTACTGACCTGCTTCCTGCTCTGAAAATCCCATCCTCCACATTAAACGTTGGCAGGTTGCTTAAACACCGACAGTGCTCCTTGCCAGCAGGATTGAAATCTAGCCCTGCAGCCCTTGCGTGCCATCTGGGAAGTGTGGGCATGTAGGAGACTGAGCCCAAATTACTGGAAGAAAAACTGATAATTGAGTCAATAGTTCTGTAGAAGGGAAAACCTTCGTACTGTGCCAGAAAAGGTGTCTGGAAGCTTGCAAATATGTCAGCTAGTCTCTAGCCATGGGAACAGGGGAAGGCCTCTCTGGTGTGGGTTTCTCCTCAGACAGCTGTTGAAGCAGCACTGTGAGTCTGAGTGTATGAGGGGCCAGCCTGTGGGCCTGCTGCAGCCTCAGATGTTCCTTCTGTTTTTCTAAGAGATCTAAATTGTCTCCATATCTCCTCCTGACTGTTCCAGGCATCACAACAGGATCCGCAGCGTTGAGGCGGGTCAGCTGAAGCCCTACGTTGCCCTGGAAACGTTGGACCTGAGTTTCAATGACATCACGGAAATCCAAACCGGCTGCTTTCCACAGGGACTTCACATAAAGGAGCTGTGAGTTTTTCTTGTTGGGAACAGCTTTTGTTGAGTTACCACAGCAGAGAAAAGGGCCTCAAACCTTTAAAAAATGGAGAGAGAACTAACGTGCAAAGTGTAGGGTCATTTGTCAGGATTTTAAGTGCAAGGGAGAATTAGAAGGTAGTTCTACCTACAGTCAAGTTCTTTTTTGAGCTCTGTCTTTTTGGTTTCTGATGTATCTGTAAAGAATGCAGATTATTATTAATTGTGTTGCAGTAGAGAAAAGGTATCCTGCACCCTTCAGGTGGGGGTGTCTTTACAGCTGGAAGCCTAGAAGCTGGAAGAACTGTGCACAGCAGACTGTGTCTCTTCCCCAGTGGGAAGTTTATAGGCTGGCTCCCAGATTAGCCCATGTACATCTGGAAGAAAGGAGGGTAATGACTAATTGCATTGTTAAGGTGGCTGTTAAATGTTAAGAACAGAAACCTTTTCTTTTTTTTTTTTTTTTTTTTTTTTTAAGAAAATAGGGGTTTAACCAAAATAACATCTTCCCAATAGAGAGATGTTTGCCTTTTCAAAGAAACATGAAGTCATTTCTGTTTTAGGTGCCTTTGAAGAAGTGCAGACAGATAATCTGCTTGCATTAAAGTCTGCACCTTAGTTTCTGCCCATTTGTAAGAGGTTATCAGAGGGTGGTGTTGTGACTGATGCTTTTGCCTGTTGTCCAGCCTCTGTAGCTAAGACTAGAGACCAAGGAAGGAAGCACCCTGGGATAGATGCTGAGGGAAGAATGGGGAATGAACAGAGTCATCCAGCACTAGAATACTCTCCAGTTTCTGTCTTCCACTCCTGGTTGCCTTGCTGATGTAGGAGGGTATCAAGGAGCTCTTGGGAAGTGTCCACCACTTCTCCACGTTGCTCACATGAGAACAGCGCTGTGCTCTTTGTGCAGCCAGAAACCCAGCTGATTTGAAGCCATATCTGCCATGTCACTAGCCTGCCCACAGACTAACCAAATGCTGATAAAAGGAGATTTCTGACAGAACTGTTCATTTTTCTGCTCTGATTTATTGCAGCTACCTGGGGAGCAACAGAATCAGCACCCTGGACCCTGGTGCTTTTGACAATCTGTCACGATCCCTGCTAACACTTCGTCTGAGTAAAAACAGGATCACTCAGCTTCCTGTCAAGGCATTCAGGCTACCCAGGCTAATACAACTGTGAGTACCAACGTGCACTTTTAATTAAGCTCAGCCCCACTTCGTGGAGACAAAATGTCCCTGAGGATACACGCACGAAATGTCACCCTTCCTTACCTGCTATAAAACTTAGAACACACTGTGCAGTAGTTCTCTGCCAGCACCTAGTAAAACATGATGGGAGAGGGTCCTTTTTGTCATGTAACTGTTGTTTTTAGGCCCTTCTTCCAGTGAGGTGGCAAAGGAGGGATGCTGCAGCATCTGGTGCACTTGACAGTGTAAGACAAATCTATTGCCTTGAAAGCTGCTGGTGCCTGTGATGCAAGAGAATTTTGGAAGACGCTTCTATTACAAGTGACAGAGCTCAGCTACCACGTTAGTTTTTCAAGACCACACAGATCTCTTTATGCAGCAATAAAAAAGCAATGATGGAAGGCTGTTAAAGTGCAGTGGTATTTAGGCAGAGAAGGTAGTACTCTAGACAAGTTAACATACACGTGGTGGTTGTCCTGCCTGTGGTCTGCATGGCAGGAGCTGTGTGGGGACACAGAGACATCTGCAGCTATAAATATGGTTTATGTGTAAAATAGTAGCACTAATGGTTTAGCTTTTATCTTTGCTGCTGTTGAAGAAACAGGCCCAACCCTGAGGCTCTTTGCAGTCTTTCCATCAAATTTGATAGGCAGAAGGTCAACCTCTGTTTGTTAACAAAGTCCACAAAAGCTGTTGGAACTCACACCTCTAAATGGCAACCTGATTGAGAGACAAATCCTGAAGCTGAGGTGTGTGCAGGGAATGCATGTGCCCTGTGCTTGCACACGTGTAGGATTTGTAGCCAGTTTGGGATTCACTGTGTGACACAATAACACATGCACCTCAGAAGTCTGTTGCCTCTCAGCTGGAAGTTACTGTCCATTGCCTGAGAGCTTGTAATCCACTGTGTTCATCTGCACCATGTGCAAAATTGTAATAAAAATGAGGGTCAGTTCAGTCTGTTTAGGTGTACAGTTTTCACTGAAAGTTGGAATAATTGATACTCTTACATTAAGACTCTCACAGCTGGTTGTTTAGCCCTATAGATAAACATGAAGGAATTGCAAGATACACAGACTTGATGTGTTGTAGAATTTGCCTACAGTCCTTTTTTTGGCAAAGCGTAGTTCACTAATAGCCTAAGAAGTGTAAAGCAAGAGTTACTAGGCCAGCAAACTTTTTAATTGCTTAGTTGACTTTAATTACCCTCAGCTTGGCTGTGAGTTCAACATCTTTTTTTTAAGCAGTTAAAAAGTAAGCTTAAAGTTTCTGCAGCTTCCTCATCTTTTCCAAAGTTCGTTCTGATGTAACCTCCACTGCTTTCTTCAACACAGACAGTGAATAAGGAGCTGCCCTTAGGCTGGTGTTGCATGGGCAGAAGTGGATCCATTTTAAAAGCTCAGTCTTCAGCTTCAGTGCATTGCATGAATGAAGTTTTCCACTGACCTTGTGGAACTGGGTTTTCACCTGGTGTGTCTGTGTCTAGCAAGCCATAAAACTGTTTGATATGGGTTGGTAAAGAGTGTTGTGATGATGTTCATATTGCTATTCAGAAAAAAAGGTATTCCCAAAATTTAGTAGTCTCTCCCCACCCAGAGGGGAAACAAAAGGAATTTAATGAACCAAGTTGGAGATCTTAGTTGTGTATGCACAAAGCACTAAGACTGCCTTGTTATGGGAAACAACTTGTTTTGCTCTGTGTTAGTTTCTTATAATAGGAAAAAATGTGAAATTTTTCAGGGGAACAGAAACTTTCCTTTCAAACTTAGCCATAACATTTTCTCTTGGGCTCACAGTTCTTACAGCACCCCCTTGTTTCAGAGCACATTTTTTCTGGGAGATTACAGGTCATGTAAAAACACTGGGTTGTAAGGGAAATAATGCTGATGTTTAATTGTATTGGTTCAAATGGTGTCTCTGCTTGAGAGAAGATGAAGTATGAAAACTGGTGAAAGGGATAAATGGCTTAGAAGAGGTGCAGAGGGAGGGGGGATGAAGAGGAGCTGCTGCACGGTGTCTGCTGTGGCTGTGTGGTGAGAGCCTGTCCCAGGGTGAGCTCACTGAGGCCATCCCACCCAGCTGACTGCCCTGGCGAGCCCCGGGATTGAAAGTTTCCGGCGCGCTTCTGCTGTCTCCTGGGAACTGCTGACAGAGGAGCTCTTGGCATTGCTGTCCCCATTGTGTGCTGCACAGCTGATTTCGTGAGAAAGGACTGGGGTTTAATAAACTTGTATGGCCTTGGTGATTTTAGGGAGCTGAACCGGAATCGCATCCGCCTGATTGAAGGCCTGACGTTCCAGGGACTGGACAGCTTGGAGGTCCTGAAACTCCAGCGCAACAACATCAGCAAACTGACCGATGGGGCTTTCTGGGGCCTAGCCAAGATGCAAGTTCTGTAAGTCAGAGAGATGGCCTCTGTTCCCTTAAACAGCCTAGATTTCACCTGCTATCGTGTCCTTCTCTGCATTTTAGCACAAACTTCCCTCGGAGACTTGTGGGCCCCTGTGCCAGTCCCCATGCTTCTTTCTGTGTCCTGCACAGAGCTCTGCCCTGCTGCAGCAGCCTCTGTTTAGTTGACCCACAGTTTACTAAAACTCATTTCTTTACCAGGTGTTCAATTAAAAAAGTCCTGATTTTCAAGCTGCAGGGGTATTCCTTTGAAAGCTTGATGATTTGAACTTTTAGTAAGATCTCAATTGGTCTTTAAATAAAAGTTCATCTGGCTTCTATAGATTTGTTTTGACTGATGCATGGAAACTCTGTGTTGCAGACTTGATGATTTTGCCTCTTGGGATACCTAGAAACCAAGCTGGCCTATTTCCGTGATGTGTTCTTTCTGTACAAGAGAACAAATTGAATAGTCATTGCAGAGAAATCCTTGAAACTCCCAACATGATTGGATTTCAGGTGTGTTTGCAAGGTCACAGGTGATCAAAGCAGCATGTTTCTGGATGCTGCACTCACACAGCTGAGACTCTGCAAATACAAACATGAGTGGGATGCTTTAAGCCCAGTTTACTTGCAGTGGAGCATACTGTTACAGTCACAGCTCTCTGGGCATTTCCTTTATGTCGTCCTTGAATTTCTATCCTTGACTTGCACAAGAAATGCCCATATGTGCATGTAGCCACCTGGCCATGTGAAAAGGTGTGTGGAATGGCTAAACTCCCAATCCTCGTTGAACATTTTTCAGCACTTGACCAGTGCTGCTTGTCAGTTGATTCCTTCTGATTTTTCTCCACAGCCACCTGGAGTACAACAGCCTGACAGAAGTAAACAGTGGCTCTCTCTATGGCCTTTCATCTCTGCACCAGCTTCACCTCAGTAACAACTCCATATCCCGCATCAACCCCGACGGCTGGAGCTTCTGTCAGAAGCTGCATGAGCTGTGAGTTGGTTTCTGCTCTGGTTGGTTGGGCAGGGTTTGACGCTAATGTAATGTTGGCAGGAAAGAGGAGGAAGGATTTCTCCTCATCACATGGCTTACAGCTCCTGCGGCATCATCCTCTAGAAATGCAGGAGCTGCAGCCTCCTAAGTCATGCCCTTGTTGTTCCAGATGATATGACCTTCAGAGCACCTGATTAAAATACGATTGAACCAGAAACAAAGACTACAACCCACTAAAACTATACAGTGCCAAAAGACCTGGAGAGTTTGTGATCTGTGGTTTGCCAATGCTTTTTAGCTAGCTAGTTACAAGACGTGTAGAACTTGCCATATAATGACTCTACAGCCTGAAGGAAGCTTTGCTTTATCCTCTGTAGTTACAAAGAACAATCATGTTTTTAACCAGCAGAGATTTGGCCCTTTAAAGGCAGTTCTCCTTGTTTCTGCTGTTTACACTTTACCCTTCCTGTAGGGCTCAGTTGTTGAAAAGTAAATATATTGGCTTTACTCTCCTGAGATACCCAGCTGTGAATACGGTCTCTTTGATAAATGAAGGAAAGCCTTGCTGCTGAGGACAGCCCCACAAGGGTGTCTTTGGAACTGTGGCACTGCTGAATGCCTTTTTCAAGAGACACACATGGATGCTTGCAGCATTTACAGAAGTAGCTGTCATCCCCTTGGTGGGGCTGTGGAAAGATTCACTTTTTTCTTTGGAGAACTTGACACGTGTGGTTAGCAGAACTATAATTCACCCTACTTGGAGCTCGGAAATCTCTTGTTAAACATTGTTAGGGATTCTCCTGGTCACCAAAAAGAAGGACAGTAAAGCAGCTTTCTGCTTTCAGAGGCTTCACTCTGGACTGAATCTAAAGGTCAGTATCTGCCTACCCAGGTGTGAGTCCCTTGTCTTTCAGGGTGTGGATTCAGAGATAGTTGGACATGACACAAGTAATTCTTTTAAATTTAGAAGCTGCAGAATTGAGGTGTTAGGTCAGTGACCAGCTGTGATCTTCTGTTGAACCCAAATTACTCATTCAGATGTGGACTGGGGGGGGAGACGACACAAAGAAATAGTTCATTTTTTGTTTTAGTTAAATACATGTGATGGTTTAATTATGTAATTTTTCAAATTGCTGGGAAACTGCCAGTGTCTGAAGGGCTCCTTTGCTTGGCACAGTGCTGTAGACAGCTACAGTTCTTCATGTGCAGATCCTTTAGTACTATTTCAGTAGATTAAGGCAGTGTCAATGGAGAACGCTTGAAGGTAACAGATCAGAATTGTCACCATGCTCTGCCTGTTGTCTGCTTAAATCTGAAGCATCAAAAAAGGGGAATCTATCTTTTTAAGTTGGATATTCACAGTTGGATCCCTTGAATAGCCAATTTCAGATCACTGTGCTGTGTGCTGTGTTAGTAGCAGAGCTCTTGGAGCTTTTTGCTCTCAGGGACCAAATATCTGGTGCCTGTGCGGAAGCTTAATTTCAGCCTGGGTTAGGGTGGGATGGGTAAGCTCCATCGTTGGGGAGCTAATGGCAGAACTCCTCTAGGGAGAACTATGCTTGTCTATTCTCCTGACAACAGTCTTTGTAAACCCTCAAGGCTTAGATGGGAGGTTGCACATCATGCTGAGTCCTTCGTTTGTTAGGTATGGATTGGCATCTCTTGCCAACAAGTAGCACTGATGGTGAGCAGTCCTGGCGTAGAGGCCATCCTCTGCAGGAACCAGTGCAGGGCTCACTCACCCTGGTGCAGAATGGGGTAGATTTGGAAAAGGCCTGGTGGTGTGAGGTGATAGGAGCCCCTGGGGTGTGCCTGGCCTGACAAACAGCATTGTGCCAGAGTGAGGCCAGAGATGACATTCGCTGAGATTGGAAAGGCGATTATGTGGGTGTTAGCCAACATCTCTGCAAAACCTTACAAGCTCTTGCAGGTGTTGCCTTTAGGGTAAAGCTGCTGCAGGGAACCATCAGATACTCCTAACTGAAACTCCCACAGCCTAAGAGCACTTGTAGGAGAGGTCTGCTCTGAAATTGAAGGGTGAGGAAAGGAAGCACTAGATACACCTAGATGGCCTCCGTACACTTCTTTGAATGTGTGCGACTCAGTCCTTATTAAAAGATCTTGCTCTTCTCCCCTATTGCTAAATCTGGGAGTCACTGCAGGAAACACTGTGATTGTACAGGGAATGAATTTCAAAGACCTTGACCCAAGAGGTGGCCAGACACCTGCTTATCTGTGCTAAAGAAGGAAGTGGTCATCTGAAGGACAACTTGTCTCTCCTTCAGTTGTTGGGAGAAAATGTGACCTCAAGGCTCTGGACTGATGTAAAAGCTAAAAAGGAAAGAGAGCTCTTGCCTAGCTGTGGGCATGAGAAAGGGCTGATTGTATTCACCAGTCAGGTGCTAGGGCATCAACATCGTGGAAAAGTCCACAGTGGGAGCATAGGATTTCATCAGAGGTAAATGGTGAATTGGCTGCCGGGTATTTATTTTCACTTTTTACCTATAATTTGGTCAATGGGAATGAAATGTGTTGGATGTACCTGGCTCAGAACTGGCTGGCAGCAGGAGCCCCAGCTGCACAGCAGTTTTCTGCTTAACCCCTTTATGTATTTATGCCACTTGTGGCCTGCTGCTCTGCGTGCTGCTCTCCCACTTCCTTGCCAGGCTCAAAGGGCTGTGCAGACAGACGTTTCCACTTGGTCCTTCCAGTGACTTCTCACGGGTGGAGAGATGACAGGGCAGGGGAAGCAGCAGAGACCTGCTGACTTCTCTCAGTCCAAAGGGCCGAGGAGGGAAGTTGGCCTGTCCCATTGGCAGGAAGCAGAGCCCTTAGAAGTTGAAGACAGCCCCTGCCAGGTGCATTAACTCCTGAGTCCTTCCAGCTGGTTGCAGCCATGGAGAGGGTCCTCTACATACGGCTCCTGTCTGCCCATCTTGAGGTGACTTCAGAACAAACAGAGGGGAACATGCCTTCACCAGTTGTGGCAGGAACTCTCTGTGTAGAATCAAAAGGAACTATTTTTTTTTCTCAGCCAGGTTTAGGATTACTTTTGAACACTTTTTTTTTTTTTAAGGCCGAATTCTTTAATCGCAGGTGAGGACATAATTTTGACCGGATGCCAGTTCTTCATAACTAACACTACAGCTTCTTTAGGAATGAAAGGATGTTGTCCCATACCTTCTTCAAACTCATTAATCTTTACTGAATTTTTTCCAGAGCTTGCCCTCTGCCCACTCACACAGCTAAAAGGTAGACAGCTCATTTGCCAAGTAAACAACGCTCAGTGCTTCAGAATATGTGTCTGTTTGGACTTAGATTTTGGCTTTGCAGTGACTTTCATGCAAGCCCTAGACACCTTTTTAAGCAGACTCATTAACAGGCAGTCTAGCAGAGGAAGAGGAATTTGGAGAGTTGGAACTCAGTGAGATTTTGAATTTTTTTCCCTGTTGTCTGTACAATGAAGGATTTTAGTGCTTGTTCAAAGCTGCATAACTCCAGTCTTTGAAAAGCTGAGCAGCCCAAACCCTCACATCTTTTGAAGTGACTTGTGTTCCCAGGTCTCTGCAGTATTTTTGAAAATCCAGTGCAACTGCCATTTGTAAAGAGATGAGCTTAAGAAAAAGGGAGTAGTGGCATGTAAATTAACGCCACCTTTAATACCCCACGTCAGCATGCAGGCAACTTAAAGCTGAGGCTGTTCCTGGTCACACTGACCTGCTAGTAGCTTTGCACAGCTTACTCAGCTGCAGGGACATCCAGAGACCAGGAGAAACACACCCAAAGCAGGGAGCTGTGGGTGAATGCTTCATGCTGCAGGTCACTGACCAGTCTCTGCTTGCTGCTGCCCCAGGAGGTCCCTTATGTGATGAGCCCATTTGATGGCCTTCAGCATCAGCCACACTGCAGCTTCACTGCTTGCACAGAAGGTGGTTGCATAGTGTGTGAGGTGTCTGCAGTGGCTTGTAGCTTCCCATGCTCTGCCTTTGGTGTCAAATCTCAGAAGCCTCATCTGGACCCAGGCTGGGAGATAAAACCAGCTTTCTTCTCCCCAGCTGCCAAACTGCAACAGGAGTAGCACTTAAAAAAATCTCCAAACCCAGAGATAATACAGGCAAGGGGAAGAGATGGGTGGAAAAGTAGGAAAAAACAACCCTCCAATATTAGTCACTTGTAAGTGGAGAAGTTTTCAAGCAGACTGTACACTCCTTGACAAAGAGGAGCGGGAGGGAAGGCGGCTGGTTTACACAGATACCTCCTTCCTGCTCATGAAAGGAAGCATTCAATTGCCTTGTGGTGAAATGCTTTTGGCTCTGGACTGGGCTGGAGCAGGCTGTGGAGACACCCACACCCAGATGCCTGGGGCTTGCTGTGCACAAGTGCAGAACGATAAGACACCTCCTGAACGCAGCAATCTGGACCCTGCCAAGATCTGGGAGCTTCGGGATCCATCTGCTCCAGGTCCCTCCCCACCTCACAGGGCCTGGGCAGGGGGCTCTGCCTCCTCCTGTAGCCCTCGGAGGGAGTCCAAGTGGGAGTGAGGAGTGAACACAGCCAGGCCTGATACCTGCCCATCTGGGGCTGGGTACCCAGCACCTCCTGCTCCCTTCTCCAGGCTTCCCAGGGGCATCTTGTGGGAATAATTACGGGCTTCATCCTGTGTCCTACTCCAGCTGTTAGGGATCCACCCAGTACAGGTCGCCTCTGCTGGGGTGGTTGGGAGAGGCCTGCACTGGTTGGCACAGAAGAGTTTGGAAAATACCAGTTGGATTGACAAGGGCTGTTGGTTTTTTTTTCCTCAGAATACTCTCTTACAACAACCTAACGAGGCTGGATGAGGGAAGCTTGGCAGAACTTGGGGGACTGCACGTGCTACGACTGAGCCACAATTCCATCAATCATATTGCAGAAGGTGCTTTCAAGGGACTCAAAAACCTACGTGTCCTGTAAGTTGCTTCCAGCTTTTTGCAGCTAACTTCCATCTTCCCTCCACAGTTTGTGTGCTGCCAAACTGTTGGCTTTGCACTTGCTTTGTGCCTGTGTCCTCAGCATCAAACTCCCCTAGACACTTCTCTGTTGTCTTCAGCAGCTCTTGTGTTTATCCCATTATTCAACCTCAGTGAACTTGTTTGTAGGTTTTAATTAAGAGTATTTAGGAAAATTGCAGTTGCAGTGCTCAGTGTTGTAGGGTTATTTCAGAACAGAGACAACACTGGAAATTTTAAGACCCTCTTAAATGTGCTGTCAAGCATTTTTGTGGCTGTTACTTCTTTTTTTTTATTGAATAAGAAATATAAAATTCACAGCTAAGATGGTGTTGAGAACACCAAAAAAGACCCAAAAAAAACCCAAAACAAAAAAACAACACCAAACCAAGAATGTCAAAACAAAGAAACTCAGAGGTTGGGTTTAGGATCTGATTATACCAGAAGTAACAACACATGAAGCTTCACCCAGTCTTTGGTCCACCCATGGGAGCAAGAGGCTGCTGCAGGTACCATGAGTAACCAGAAGTCTTTCTGCTTAATGCAGAGTTGGGCTCACTTGGGTCATGAAATGTTCTGTTGCTCTGACCTTCATGGTAACTCCTCAACAACAAAATAGCTGTCCTGTGAAGAGAAAAGTTTCATGTGTCCTAATACTGAATTCCAAAACAATCTATCCAGTGGTGGCTGTGGCCATTTACCAGAAGCTTTTAATTTAAAGTCAGTGACACAATATAGTACCTAGCAATGTGGCACTGGGAATGAGCTTGCTAGTCAGGATACCAACTGCTAAGATTTTAGGGCTAGTAGAGACCGTTATACAGCTCAATCTGACTCTTTTGGGATGCCAGCAGTAGAACTGTTCTATTGTGCACTGTTAAATAAAGAGCTGCATTAGCTTGAAGTACCTCTGGGCTTGCCGTGGAACCATGAGAAGGAGAATCCAGTTCTAGTAGTTGTCCATTCCTGCAGCTGTGTTGCCTCCCTCTCCCTTATTGTACCTGCTGAGCTGCTGGCTGCTCTCCATCTCTCTCCAGAGGCTCTGGGCTCAGCACCTTCTTCTGGCACACCACAAAGTTCTCACAGTCTGTGTTACAGTGCTGTCCATGCTCCCAGGCTGTTTGAGTTCATCAGGCTGATTTAATTCTTCCTTCAAAAGAAAAAAAAACCCAACCCACTTAGATACTTTTATTCCTCTTCAGAAGCCCATTGTGGCCCGTGTAATTAACAGGAAACAGGAACAGGGAGATCTCCCCTCTTTACAGTACTTTTTGCATCTTACTCTTCCCTTTATTGAAGTTCACAGTGAAGGAAGTGACTGGAAAGTGAGTTTGGGTTTTGTTTTCTTTTTTTCCCCTTTTTTAAAGTTAAGCCAAAGCCTTTCAGCCAGTGGGCATTCAGAGGGGGACCTCTCCGAGGCAGCTGTCAAGACCGGAACTAAAGGTTTCCAAAGAGAGCTGGAGGGGCAGGGGAGCTGGGCCTTGCCTCTGCCCCAGTGAATGTGGAGCCTCTTTTATGTCTAGGGCAGGGGGGAGGCGGAGAGGGAGTGTGTGAGCGAGCTCTAATTTAATAAAGAGAAAGGCCTATTGGCTCCTGCACCTGGTGAAAAAGACCCGAGCATGCTTTAATTATGGCCTATTGTTGGGGAGCCTTTGGTGGGTGTGAAACTGCTGAAATGTGGAGCTATTCAAATAGAGGTCAGGCCCAGAGACCTCAGAGCACAATGATTAACAAGGCTGCGAGCATTCAAGCTCAGCCAGCCAGAAAGAATAGGAAATTGGCAACAGGGGCTGGGAGAGGACTTTGAATACAAAGAGAGCTAGGCCAAAATACCCCCACTCTTTTCTCTCTCTCTCTATTTTCACTCATTTGTTAAAAAGGTTTTTATTCCTCCTTTCTAACACTAAACCTTTGAGTTGCCTCTGGATGAACAAGCAATACCATTTTCTTTTCCTTTTTCAAGAAAACACAATGTGTGGCAGTCAATTAATAAAAGTGTGTGTCAGAGGGCTCCTACAGGCTGTTCCCACTTGTCTGCCTCTGCCATGGGAAAGGGTTTGCTGGACCAAAGACCAGTAGCCCGTGGTGGAACTGAAGAGGAGAAATGTCTGGGAAGGGATTTGCCTTTAAAAAACAAACAGAACAAGGGGCATTGGCTTGGCAACCACAGGGGAGATGTAGAAACTTAGCTCCAGGAGGATGTATTTGCTCCTGCCCCACTCGGATAGTGCTGAAAATGCAGTACATCAAAGTGTCTCTCCTGGACTTGTCTCTTTTGCCACCACAGCATTATGTGCACCCAGACCCCATGGGGCTGTTGAGTTTTTATCCATCTTTTTGGCATAGACCGACCCACACATCACCCTGACATCCACAGTGGTGCTTCCCCAGGGATATCAGATTCAGGTCTCACGCTGCAGCCAGCTGAGAAACAGGAATTGTGGCTTTTGGCCATCTCCCTTCACAGACTCAGCTCAGGCACCAAAGCTGAGGAACAAGCAAAGATTGCAGCCAGCTTTGGTCCCGAGACCAGAAGTCTCAGCCCCATCTGGGCTGGGGAGAGACATGCCAATATTGAACCTGGGGGATTTCTTAAAATCTCTGTTCTCTTCTTGTGGGTTATTGTGTATTTGTGCTGCATAGCCCAGAAGCCATGCTGTGATGCCCGTGTCTGGAATGCTGCAAAATGCAGGGACTTGGTCCTTTCTTTTTTGGTTTTAATATTTTTGAACTGCAAATGTTCTGATAATAATCTTCAAAAGGTGTGAAAGGAGTACCTGAGGGTTCGGGGTTATCTGGATGATTAAGTTTGATTTGTTGTCAGGTTTTGCTAGGTTTTTAAATCAAGAGTGTTGTAACAAAACCAACAAAGACTATTTATTTTTTCTTTCTTTTTACTTAACATTAGAAATGATGAATTTCTGTCTGTGTTGCTGGGCATTCATTGCTAGCTGGAATTAAAGCTAGGAGGGAAGGATTTTTAAACAGACTGTTTAAACAGCTTTTGTGGATCCCTATGTTTGTTCTGTGGGCTTGTTTTTCTTCAGACCTCTTTGACTCTTGTAATTGATGGTCAATTTGAAAGCCAAAAGAAGCTAACTCTGAAAAAGGAATTCTCACTATTTTTTTTTTAAGTGGTTATACAGTGACTTAGGCTTGTGTTGTAAGAATGATGGTGCTTTTCTTTGTGGAGCTTTCAAGTTCAATGCCAGAAAAAAATGCAGCTTCACAGAGAATACATCAAATCATCTTCCTAATATTATAGATATAGACAAATACACATACACATTGGAATAGCCAAAGTTATCCCAATTCATGATAGTAGCATTTAACAGCAGCTGTTTCTTTAAGCTGAGCTTTGGTACTTTATTTTCTTTTTCCTCCTTTTGTTTGGATGCACAGACTTAGAAAAAGACTGAAACCTACTTGTTTCAGTCTACCAAGTAGCTTGCTGCTGCTCCTGTCTCAGAAATAGAGGGTTTCAGCTAGGAAAAAGCCAGGGCTCTTTATGGAATGCACCCTCTCAGCAGGAGTCAGTGCAGGAAAAGTGATCAGTGCTGCTTTGCTGCAGGACTCTGCTTTTTCTGATAACTGTCAGGAGAAAATAGGAAGCTCTTCTTGTGGCATTCTCAAACTTTATTCCATTTGTTTTTAATGGTGAGCCTAGTACCAAGACACTGATTATGAGCTCTGTCTTGTCCTCTCCCCAGGGAACTGGACCACAATGACATCGCGGGCACAATAGAAGATACCAACGGAGCCTTTACAGGCCTGGAAAACCTAAGCAAGCTGTGAGTATCCCTGGGTTTGGAGTTCCTCAGAGCAGTTGTGTGTGTTGGGTGGGGGTGGGTCTCTCCCCTCCGACCCAGCCTTCTCCTTTTGGAATAAGGTAAAAATCAACAGAAAATCAGTTCCCTGCTTCTAAAAGCAAACAGCAGTCTTCAGCAAAGCACTGATTGATGCAGCAAATAACAATAAACAAGAGCAAAATCACCCCATTTCCTGTTACAACAGAGGGTTGAAGCAGGATTCCTTTCTGTGGGATACTCTGTCTGAGAGTGGTCTTTTGGGCTTGCTTCCATGTGCAGCGACAATAAAAGGCACCATGGGGCACAGGCTCTTAAAGAGATAAAAAGAAACCTAAGGCAAGCATGCGCCTTGCAAATGTTTATGGATTGCTTGGCCTTTGGAAGTATTTTCACATTGCTCTGTGCTTGTTCATATTCCATTTGAAATGGGCTGTGTAAATCAGCCCTGTCAGAGGAGTCTCTGATGGCTTGTGACAAATCAAGAGTCTTTCTAATCATTACCTCTTGCCTTTGTTTAAGTTCTCAGCACCCCCCATCTCGCCGTCTCTGCTGCCGAGATGGCGCAGCCAGAGGTGCAGTAAAAGCACCTCGATGGGTAGCAGATGGTGAGGAGGGATCCTGGCAGGCCCTGCATGGTCACGCTCTCGCCAGGGGCTCCTGGGGGAGCAGGAGGAGCTGGGGCAGGATTCGGGGGGGGCTTAAAAAAACGGAGAGGAAAAAATGGAAGTCACAAACATAGATAGCGTTTGATCGTTTTTGGGGGAGTTGCTGGGTCCAAGGAGAGTGCAGCCAAGCTGTGGTGGTGAATCAAGTGAGGCAGAAGGCAGAGGAGAACTTAAGGACCAGGGGAGTCGGGCAGGGAAGTAGAAGGGAGTGTGGGAGAAAGAGAGGCCAGTAGGAATCGCTGTGCACGTGCAGTTGGGAAATCTTCCCACGAGTTGCTAGAAAAAAGGCAGAGGAACAGATGTGGTGGGTGGGAGAGTCCTTGGCTGCTGCTGCTGAAGTTTTTGGGTTGTCTGAGGAAAGCAGTGGAACCATGTGAGCAGTCAGAAGGGCAGTGGGAGCAGAGGTTTTGTCCAGAGGGATTTGCAGGCTGTAGGACTGTGGGTCTGTAGTGGTGTTTTGGCAAGGTGGAGGAAAGGAGCAGAGAGGGAGAGCAGGCCTGGTGAGGTGTCCACATGGCCACTGCCATGGGGGCAAAAGTGGGGATCCCAAGTGGCTGGGACATGTTAGAAATGCTGGGTGCAGTTAACACGAGAGGGGTGAAAAAGCCAGAGGAGACAGCCTTGATGGAAAGAGCTCAGCAAAAGGATTGACTCAGCAGCCAGGAGAAAGGAGTGGTGATGAGTTGTGGGGGTCAGGCAGAGGCCAGGAGGTCCAGCAAGGAGCAGGAGGAGGAAGGAAGGGAGCAGAGGCAGCCTGCAGGGTTGTGTGTTTGGAGCTCTGTGGCCTGATCTGATGCTTATCAGATGGCACAAGGAAGGACTTCAAAAGATGGCCGGTTTTGTCTGCCAGTAGCAAAAGATGTGGCAGGGACTTGCACAAGTCTAAAGAAGTTTGCATCTTTTTTCCCATTGCTGACCTCTGTCTTCCATGAGACGTGGACTTAGGCCTGTTGTGAGTCTGGCTGAGCGCAGGGAAGGCCACGTGCCTGTGGTTTGTGGTGGGAACTGCAGCAAATTGGGTAGCCTGGCAGAGCGTGTGGATCAGGTTGGTCTTGGCTGGCAGAAGTGGTTTGATTTCCCAACAGGGCAAACCTGCTGTGGGACAGACAAGTTGCTGGGATTGTTTATTGTCAGCCCGAGTGCGAGGCTCAAAAAACCCTCAGAATATGAGATGATTCTGTTATATTTCTTGAGGCTCTGGTCAGGTCTCTTCTAGCTCATCAGCACATAAATCCAAAACTTGTGATTTTATCTAAGGCCAAAGCAAGTATCAGTTTTGCTGGCAGGTTTTTTTTTGTAAGTAAAGTAAAATATCAGCCTTTACAGCAAACATTTCACTGTGTGATTTAAGGCCTCCGTTTAAACTGTCAACCAGCTTGAAATGCATTAGCATACAAAAAATAAATGGGCACTTCAGAGGAGACCTTCCAATGAATTAATAATCACCTCAGCTCTGTGGAGATTGCCTTAAAAGCCGTTCCCCTTTGATCTGGCACAGATTAGCCTCTGAAAGGATTTAGCACAGAGAGGGCTGACCGAAATGAAGGTGTTAAACTGAGAAGTGGGAAGGCCAGTCACTTCAGCCTTCTCTGAATTATAGATGAAGCTCTCCAGGATGGAGAGCACAGGCCTAAATTAAAATGTTGCCTCAAGAAAGAGGGGATGGAGAAGCACCGAAGTGTGAAAGGCATCAGTGGAATCGCTGGGGAGCAACGAGTTTCCTAATTGTTCAAGCTGCTAAACGTAACCAGTTGTTTGATGGCTCACTCAGTGACTGAGATCTTCCTGCAGGTGCAGAAGGGGCTGGAGGAGAAAATGCTCCTTTCTGATGAGTTGTGGTGCCTCATGTGCAGGTGCAGCCGGGCAGGGAGCGGGGGCATGGCTGGCACGGCGTGGAGCAGCGGGCAGGCCCTCGGGGGGCAGAGAGGCCCTTGGGAGGGGGCTGCTGGGCTCCAGCCACCTCAGAGTCAGAGAAGTGGTTAGCTGTAATTGGAAAGGTGTCATGGTTCAAATGGGTTTGTTACAAGTAGGTCGTGTATTTCTCCTCTATACAGCCAAAAATTCTGTGTGTCTCTGCAAGTGGTGTGTATGTTGTGTACTGGCATCCCCAGCCGTAGGGCTTATCTCTGCACACATCAGTAAACACAGTCAGTATCTCCAGTTTTCAAAGTCCAAGATCCACTGTAAACAATAAATAGAAATCTCCAGCTATCAAACCCAAGCTCAGCATTAACACTCGTGTTTAGGAATATGGCTTCAGAAATAATTATGTATGGATGCAGCCATAGGACCAGAGTTTGCATATAGTAAATTATTTACTATATTAAACATTCTAATGGATTTTTCAAAGCCTTCATTAATACAACAACCCTTTTACCAAATGATGGTACACATGGTTGCACACATCCTTTGGTGCTTGGGGTATTGCACCCAGAGCCAAAAGCCACACACCTTCCCATGCAAACAATAGGACCTCAGATACCCTGGGTTTGGTGCTGTAGCAGAGAGCTCAGGAAAGATCACTGCAGATACCTGGGGTGATACTGTCGATAAAGCAGGCTGCAGCTATGTGGAGACTATGACAGCTGCCTTTATTCTCACCTTGAATCAAATAATTAACAAAGGGGGACAGCTCTGCCAACTCAGCTGTGGTTTTGTACAAGTTAAACCTGCTAAGAAAGGGCTTCAAGTGTGTGTCTCACTAGGGAGGCTGAGAGGTGGCTTTGCCCAAAACCAAGTCTTTTGGGGTTGTGTTTTGCTCTAGAATGCTAAGATCTGTGATTCTGGGGCCAGAGACCATTTGCATGGAGCTAGGAGTCACTGACCTTTCTTATTTACTCAAGAATTAGAGCAGTAGCTCATCCAGCAGTACCACTGTAGGTAGTGTTTTGTGAGGACTTACTCGGGGTTGTAGTGTTGCCCAGAGGCAGACATTTGAATTCTTTCCAAAGACAACAGGCTGCAAGGACAGATTGTGATACAGTCCCAGTCCTTGCTGTCATAACAGTGTGATGGGCCCAAATTTTCCTTTCTATCTGTTGTGGCATCCATTGCTTCATTCACACAGAAACTGGGCTTTCTGGGTGCCAGTACTGAGGCACTAAATTAGCTTGACATTTGAAGGGGCCTTTGTGGAAAGCCCTGACAAGCTCCTGCACATATATCTGCTTGTGTCATGGCTGCACATGCTCCATCCATCTTGTACCCCAGCCTCCTTTCCCCAGCCAGCAGCAAATGGTGGGACCATCAAAGTTTGAGACCTGTAGGGTGCAGATATGCTGCACTCTGTATTGAAGGGAAAATCTTGAAGGAAAGCTCAGGTGCAGCATCAGATGTGCCAGTTTTTGCCTGGGGTGTGAGGAGTTGTGTTGGACACCATGTGAAGCAGGGGTGCTAGAAGATGCACCTGGAAGATAAACCTTGGACAGAGAGAACCTGGGGAGGGCAGGCATTTCCAAATTAAAGACATTGGTGGATGTTTTATTAAAACAGGTGAGGAGACCATCCATTTTGCACGAGCCCTGCCCCTGCCTGATCTCCACTGGTCAATATTTATAGAGCCCTGTTCCTGCGCGGGGCTGCGACCGCTCCAGGCAGTGCTGGCAGCTGCCAGCCCCCTCCCCACTGCCTGGCACTGCCTGCTGCCTCGGGGAGTGCTCTCTGCTCACAGATGCAAGCAAGCACGCTGCTCAGCTCTGTACACTGCTGCTTCTCTTCCTCCTTTTGCCCCTTGAAATTGCCACTCAGCTGTTATTTACTGCGTTACAGTACTTTATGTTTGCCGTAAGCCGGGGCAGGAGGTCAGCAGTCACTTCAGTTAGCTGCTGTGTGAAGGTGCAGCCAAGAGACAGCCCCAGCCCTGGTGCGTGGATGTCCCCTCAGGCCAAGCAGCCCTGAATTCATCACCACTCTCTTACTCTTTGGGAAGAAGTCAGAAATGGAAGTGTTGCAGCGAGAGGCCCAAATCTTGTTAAACTGTCATTGCACTTAATTCTGTCTGCAGTCAGCCTGCAAAGCATAGAGGGGACCTTCTGTTACTCAGCAAGCTGGGCTCCAAGCACTGGAGCAAACCTGCCTTCTTACGTGGTATCACGCATTCCCTTTTGTGCTGTCATCACTATTAAATTTGAATACAGATAAAAGGGTTTAATTTCAGCAGAGGGAAAGCGAGTGTACTTCAGCCCTCTTAATCTCCCTGCAGTTCAGATTTCCTGGGACTTGCACTGAGCGTGTCTATCAGATAAACCCACACTAATTGTGTTCCTTCTTTTTTCTTTTTTCTCTCCCCGTTTTCTTTCTGTTTATCTGGCACTGGATGTTTGGAAACTGCAGAACTCTGTTTGGAAACAAGATCAAGTCGGTGGCCAAGAAAGCATTCTCAGGGTTGGAGGCCCTGGAGCACCTGTGAGTAACCCACCATGCCTCAGAGTTTGGGAAGGGGGGGTCTGCCAAAAGTAGCTGCTTGAGAGATCTGCTAGCAATTTAATAGTGTCTTTGTAAGCTGAGAAGCCAGTCCATTTGTGGGGGCCACCTGCTTCCTTCTCATTATAAGTCCGCCTCAACTTTGGCCTTTTTTTGTGCCAGGAACAAAGTTATAGAACATATGGCAAATCTGCATGCTCTTAATTTTTTGATTTGTTCTTGGATAAGCAGTGCCTTGACTTGCACATTGCTGCTGTTAGCAATGGAAATGGGCTATTTCAGATGGAGCTCTCTCTCCTCCTCCCTTGCCCCAGCTTCCTCCTCAATCTAGACTCTGGCAGTGACACACACTGGAAGTGGCTGCTCACGGTGCAGGCACCAAACATCCCTGCTCAGCACAACCACCTCAGAGCCATTGGCAAGAGGGACATTTTGGCTGCCACTGTATAATTTTTTTTCCTGTGTCCCAAGGCAGATACGTCCAGCAGTGAATCATTAATAACTTCCTTTCTGAGTTAAGACAAGTTGAAGTATATGTGAATTTGCTCTCTGTTGTACTGGCTGCTGATGGTATGAATGGTGTGACCATTGAGAGCACGCGGAGGGGTTAGGGCTGCCTGACTGGGGGGACATTCCCAGGCAAAGGTTCCCCAGTTGGATTTTCCTCTGGAGTCTGTCCTGTGCTTCCCAGTCTGACACTGTCCTTTTTCAGAGAAGTGAATTTTTTAATTAGCAGTGCTTGTGAGGGAAGATTTCAAAGCACGTTCTTTTGGAGACATTGCAATGTTTTTTGAACACAATGGTATCCTCCCAAAGTCACTTTCAAATAACTGCCCGGGTGCTGTTTAGTGCAAGTATTTGCTTTCTTTGTGTTTGCTGAAGGTCGAGCCTGGGATACGACATTCCTGACTATCTTTGGTTATTGAGGGGGCTGAGGAATTTCTGGGCTATGGATGATGGAGGGAGCTGAGACTGAGAAAGTGTAGTGGGAAGATGGGGTGTGGAATGACTTAGTGATTTATTCTTGGTTTTTTTGTTGGTTGACTACTGTTCACTAGTACTTAAAAGTGTTTTGTGGAAAACCACTTCTCTGAGCTGCAAGTGCATACGGCCTTCACAAGGAGCTCCCAAACGACCTGCTCCTGGAGTCGTTGCTTAAACAGGAGGGAGTTTGTCACAGCCTTTCTGCTCACGTTGCCTGTGTGTGTTGGCAGGAACCTCGGGGACAACGCCATCCGCTCGATCCAAGCAGAGGCCTTTGCCAGGATGAGGAGCCTGCGGCAGCTGTGAGTCCCTGAGTCCTGCCCTGCTCCTGGCGTGGCGCCCACTCACCACTCGTGTGCTTCCTCCTCCCCTCTGTCCTCCTCTGCAGGGTATTTTTACAGATGAGTAGATGTCACAGGAACACCTTGCGTTCAGCCCTGAGTGCAGTTAGATCATGGGCAGGTTCTTCCAGCGGGTTGGCATCTGTGCCATCAGCCACCTCTGCTCAGGGAGGCCCTGGCCCTGTTTGCCACCTCTCCTTCCCACACTGCCACTGCTTTCATTCCAGTGGCCCTTCTGCTCCTTTGCTGTCCCCGTGTTTAGGGCTCACCTTCAGTACTGACATTTCAGCAACAGGCACCATTTGAATGGGACCCACTTGTCACCCAGCCTGCTGGTGTAAAAATATGGCTGTGTTATCAGAGCTGCTGCTGTGCTCCAGGCTGGGGCTCTGCGCTCTTATCAGACACTGTTTCCAGTCTTGCCTGGTTTCCTTTTCTCTTTGCCATAAATATTTAATCCACTGTCTGTGCATTGCTACGCTCTGGAGCAGCGCAGCATCTGTGGAACAAGAAATCACATATCTGGTATTTTGGCAGATTCATCCTCTTCTTCCTGGTGCTGGGAATGGGATGGTCACTGTTAGCAGGGGCATCTAATACTAGTGCCGGGGGAATGAGCAAGATAAATGTTGCATGTCTGTTGTTTAACTGCCTTATTTTCACACTGGCTCTTGAAACAAAATTGAGGTGAGGGATTGATCTCATTAGAGAAGAACATATGGGATCCCAGATGTTGTAGAGGAACCTTTATACCATGGAGAAGGTGGCTTTCAGATAGGAGACACCTACATGCAGAATGTATTGTACCAAAGTCTTAAAAACCCAGGGTCTCTGACCTGTCCCTGCCAGCCAGCAGTGTTTGTGCCATCACAGGTACTGGGGGCTGCGTGTCTCTCTAGGACAGCAAAGTGAACAGCTTGGGAAAATCAGATCTCTGTGTTCCCTCATTCCCTCCTTCCTCTCTAGTCCATTCCTTTCTTCTTGCTTTTCCTGGCTGTTTTCAGACTTCATGATTTCCTGAGGTTATCAGTTAGGAAACAGGAGATGGCACATCTTCCTACAGGCCAGTGCTGGAGCTGTGCTGTGCCCCTGATCGCCTGCTCTTGCACAGCTTGCATTGCAGGGCAGAGCTGCTCTCTCTGGGGCCATTTTCCCAAGCTCTGAGGCATCCTCACATTCTGTTTGAGGGATCAGATTGGGTTTTCCTGGGATCTTGGACCAAACCAGACCAAGCTCTCAGTTCCCTGCTAGTGTCAACTTGCAGTTCTTCACTAGTCTTAGACCTGTGCTGAGCCACAATTTGGCCCAGAATATTAAATAAAAAAACCAAAACCAAACCCAAACAAACCTGAGGCTTCCCTTTTGTTTGCCCCTTTTTCACAGCTTTTGACACCAGTCCTAAGTTGCTGTTACAATGCTGAGAAATGGGTTTGTGTTTTGTTTTCCAGACTAGTTTGTATTGGTTTTACAAAAATATCTTGGGTCATTTCTCTTCCACTGCTTCTGTTAATCAGTAAACACAACATCAGCTACTGTAGACACATCAACTACCCCTCTGGTCCCTGGTGATGCTGGTGTGTGGGCAGGGGCCTCTCCTCTTACTCCTCTGGTGCTGGCCACTGAGGGAACTAAAGGTCTTGCTGTGGGGACTTGGCATCCTCTGCCTGTTCAGTAATGAAGTTCTGAATTCAGCCTCCCCCAACGACGCTCAGAGCACGGAGGCAGAGCAGGAGCACATGTGGTAACTGGACATGGGAGGTGGGAGCAGGACAGGCTGTCCTGACCCATGGCTCTGCTGCCTGTCTCCTTTGTAGATGATCTGCCTGGGTTTCCCTCACCTCAGGCAGGATGGTGTGGCTCGGCTGCTCCTGGGGATCGCTCGGGAGGCTGGTTAATAAATATGAGGCACTAGGGAGTGTCACTGGAGCACAGGGAGTGGGTTGTTCTACGTGGAGATGAAATGCTGTTCAAACGTGTTACATATTTAACATCATTAGTGCCTGGAGGACAACCCTGCAGTCCTGTTTTTCCTTCCACCCATGCTGGGGGGGAGGGAAGAGTGTGTCTAACATGAAAGGGCTGTGAGCTTTCCAGCCTTCCCTCCGTGCAGGGCTCACAGCAGGCTCGTGTTGGTTTTGTTTCCCTGCAGCCACATAAACAGCGACAGCTTCCTCTGCGATTGCCAGCTGAAATGGTTGCCCCAGTGGTTAGTGGAGAAGGAGCTGCAGTCCTCTGTGGTGGCCACCTGCGCCCATCCCGAGTCACTAAAAAGCAAAAGCATTTTTGCCATCCTGCCAGAAAGTTTTGTGTGTGGTAAGTGTTGCCTGTGTGTTTTGAGGTTGTACGAAGGGTAGGACTCACTTGGGAAACATTTTCTTTGACTACTAGCATGTTATTACGAGAGGGTTTCTGTTTTGTTTTGTTATTCAATGGGATCAAAGGGAGCCCAAGCCTGCATTTTAAAAATTTGTCATTGGCTACAATTTATTTCCCACCAAACCCACACGGCGCATTGCTCACATCCAGTGTGTGCCTCACAGCGCTCCCCCAGCGCCAAATCAAAAGGGGCTAATGCTTGTTCCAGCTCCAGATGGGGCTGCACAGGCACTTCCCCAGTCCTCCTGATACTGCCAAGACTGCAGCTATGGGGTTTTTTCACTCTGCAGTGTTCTGACCTTCTGCTGTGGCTTTCTGTTCTTCATTTTTTTCCCCTCTTGGAAATAACTAAGGGTTAAAAAACCAAGGTTGGGGGGAATATGTCCTCTGTCACAGCTCCTTTTTTTTGGGCCAGTAAGGCATTCTACAGGAATTAAGTGGTGGCTAACAGTTGCATTATAATCTTTTTTCCTCGTACAGTTGTTTTGCCTTCTAAACAGCACTTACTGCTGTTCTCCCACCCGAACACTGCTGCTGACTCTGCACCTGAGCTGTGGTGGCAAAGCAGCTCTGCTTAACACCCAGCACACACAAACATCTACTGCCCCTCTCGTAAAGAAACAAAAAGTCACTCGCCAGAGGAGGCCAAAGTGATGCTGCTCATGCATCCAGCTTTGGGGGAAAAGAAAGGCCTGGCTTGATGAGCCAGACCCTGTGCTGTGGAGCCAAGCAGTGCAGATCCTGGGTGGAGCTGCACATGGCTGTCTGACAAAGGAAGAATGAGCTTTAGAAAAAACACTTCTTTAACAAAGCTGAATGTGTGACTTGCACTGAACACGGAGCAAAAGCTTTGTTCCAGCTGCTGTCCCACGTTCCTCTTGGTCCCAGGGTGGTAAGGCTCTGCCTAGGTGGCCTCTGTCTGAGCGAGTCTGGGAGGCTTGCTGTGTTCATCTGGAAGAAGAGGGCGTGAAGGCTTCATCCCCAGAGCAACAGCACAAAGCACAGACAGCTTTGCTTCTCTGGTGCCTGCCAAGTCCTCCAGGCACTAGTACTCCTGGTTCCAGAGGCCTGGCTGTTTAATTAAACCTTAGTCAAATATTAAATTACACCATTTGTAGAAACCTAATAAATGAATCTGCTTGGAACCTTGCTAAAACTAACAATCTTCAGGGCAGAGAGTGTGCAAAGCTTTCCACCCCAGACGGGTGACGGGCAAACAGAGCTGTGGCTGCTTTGGTAGCGTGTGCTGCTGTCACCTTGCTCATGAGCATTTATCCCAAGAGGTGGCATCTGCAGTCCTTTAAGTGTCCTCCTGCTCTCCCCTCCTGCTTCATGCTTATGCAGGCCTGGAGGCAAGTTCAGTATTGCCCTTCACGCGTGGGCTGTACAAGGAAGGATGTTTTCTTGCTGAGGTTCAGCGACACTGGTGAAAAGAGCTACTAGGTATCTTGTAGGTGTTTGAGGTCACTAAGTGACCACCTCAGTCCCCTGAAGAGATGGAGGAGCCAGAGGCATGGGAGTCCTAGCCTAGAGGAGCCACTCGGTGGAGTCGTGCATGGACACCTGCAGTGTGGAGCCCGTCTCCATGGTGGGTGCCTTGCCAGAGCGAGGTGCTTTCCTGGCAGGGACAGCAGGGCCTGTAAAAGCAGATGTGCAACAACGTCTTTCCCTTGCACACTGCTCGTTTCTCATTGCATCCCTTTGCTGCTCCAGCCTTTCCCCCTAGTCCAGCACTAACTGTGCCTGCCCTTTCCCCACAGATGATTTCCCCAAGCCGCAGATCATCATCCAGCCCGAGACAACAGTGGCTGTCCTCGGGAAGGACATCCGTCTCACCTGCTCGGCCGCCAGCAGCAGCAGCTCCCCCATGATGTTTGCCTGGAAGAAGGACAACGAGATGCTGCACAATGCTGAGATTGAGAACTTTGCCCACGTGCGGGCCAAGGATGGGGAGGTGATGGAGTACACGACCATCCTGCACCTCCGGCACGTCACCTTTGCCCACGAAGGGCGTTACCAGTGCATCATCACCAACCACTTCGGCTCCACCTACTCCAACAAGGCCCGACTCACTGTTAACGGTGAGTAAGAAGCTTTCTCATCCCTTTCCTCAGCTGTAGCTGGTACAATTCCCTGGGACTCTTTTGTCATTTTTAGCAGGCAGTTACTCCTGAGGGTTCATTCCTGATGGTGAGGAGCTCTTAACCTCTTCACAGCAGGTGTGTGCATCTCAGTGAATGCTGAGAAATGCTGTGTGAAGAGCACATGCTAGGCTTGTGGCAGCTGCTATCAGGCCAAGCACTTCACCACCTTCTTAATGGCCTTAGCTGCCTCCCCTTGGCTGTTCCAGTGGAGTCACTGCCCAATGAAATGGGCAAATGAAAATAAAAGTACGAAAGGATACAAAGAGTAGTGACTGTAGTCATTGAAAGTTCTCTCTAGGATAGAAAACGAGGTTGCTTCCAGGCTAGTTGCAGAAAATGAGCTTTGATCCCAGCTCTAATGAGCCTGAGCGGGGGCTCTCAGACACTGCAGCCAGGCGTGTGCTGGAGGAACAGAGGGTTCGTCCCCAGCCCTTCAGAGACACCCTGCCCAAGCAGCCTCCCGTCCTCTCGCCCGCGGGCGGTTACCACACGCGTCTCCCGCCGGGGAAGGGGGAGTCAGAACTTGCCAGGAGATGGTGTTCTCCCTGCGGGATGGCTCATCCCTTCGCCTTGGTGTTGTGTCCCAGTGTTGCCCTCGTTCATCAAGACTCCCCACGACGTCACCAGCCGGACGGGGACGATGGTGCGGCTGGAGTGCGCGGCCGAGGGGCACCCCCCCCCGCAGATCGCCTGGCAGAAGGACGGGGGCACCGATTTCCCGGCCGCCCGCGAGCGCCGCATGCACGTCATGCCCGACGACGACGTCTTCTTCATCACCGACCTGAAGATCGAGGACACGGGGGTCTACAGCTGCACGGCCCAGAACTCTGCGGGCTCCGTGCTGGCCAACGCCACCCTGACTGTCCTGGGTAAGGAGCAGCAGCGCCCCAGGGGACAGGCCGCTCTGGCAGGGGGAACTGGAGGGGGTGGCTGCTCAAGCTCCTCAGCAGCTGCAGGTACAGGGAGGGGACACGGAGGCGCTGCCCTGCATTAGTCTTGTTTCATTCGTTTAAGCTGTCATGAGCTCATTTAAAAATATCCTGCTAATTAAGAGAAGGAGCCCTAAGTTGCATTGCCTGTTGTGCCAAGGAGGCCACTCCAACCAGCTTAGGTGCTGTCTGGGAAAATGACTTCAAGAGGAGCTATCACTGCATCTCTTGCCCTATGAAATCAGTCATGTGTCAGCCGTTGCCCCTTGTCCTTGGGAGATGCTTTGTTTGGAGCTCTCAGAGCAGCTGGTTACGGGAAGGCCTTGGTTGGGATTGTTGGATCTGTTCTGGTATGCAGACACCATGTCCTGGGCAGGTGGCCGCAACAGTGCATTGCTGTGAGTTCCTCTGCAGGAACATCAGTTACGTTCAGCACTGTTAACAGAAATCTGTTGCTACACTGTCCCTGAGAATTACTTTCTGTGTTCATTCTCCTGCAGAGACACCATCTTTGATTCACCCACTGGAAGACCACGTGGTGTCCGTGGGTGAGACCGTGGCTCTCCAGTGCAAAGCCACAGGGAGCCCAGCTCCCCGCATCACCTGGCTGAAAGGAGACCAGCCCCTCATCGTGACAGAAAGGCACCACTTCACCTCTGGCAACCAGCTGCTGATTGTTAGGAACGTGGTCTTGGAGGATGCTGGGAAATACACCTGTGAAATGTCCAACACCGTGGGGACAGAGCGTGCCCACAGCCACGTGAGCATCCTGCAGTCTCTGGGCTGTAGGAAGGACCGTACCACCGTGGGGATCATCACCATTGCTGTCGTGTGCAGCATTGTGCTGACATCTCTGGTCTGGGTCTGCATCATCTACCAAACCAGGAAGAAGAGTGAAGAATACAGTGTCACCAACACAGGTAGCTCAGAGTCTCCTGCTAAGGCTCCCTCTACCCTTTTGTGCTGTCAGGTTTCTGAATCGGCACGTCGGGTAGCCAGAGTCACGCTGGGAGAGCAGTTGGCTTATCTCTGTGGTTCTCTTGGCTCACAAAGCTGGAACCAGCTTTCACTTGCTGTTGAAGCATGTTCAGAGCTGCATTTCTCCCCCTGGCTTGCTCTTCAGAAAGGTCTTTTCCACTTGGCAGTAGTTTCAGCCATTGCTTTGCTACTTTGATTTTCCGTGACCATAAATGATAACTCTTGAGACAGCCTGGATCATGTCCATGATGCTGGAAACCAAAGATGTTGTGTTCAAAACTTGAAAAACTAGACTTTGAAGCTGGAATGTCTTTATTCATGTTGCCCATAAAAGCTGTTGTAGCCCTGCTGTTGGGGGGTGTCCCTTGCTTCCTAGGGGAAGAAGTAGTGTTTATTTGGGATAATTTGCTGCTGAAGCAAGTGCTGCAGTGAGAATAAACTCTCTTGCCCTCAATGTTATTGAGCCTCTGCAGAGAAGAATGGAAGAACCAGACTAAGGTTTCCAGACCCTGCTGGGATTTGCAGCCTTCCTTTATTGCACATATAGTACAACATGGGATTTTGGAGACTTGGGCTAGCTAGGGAGTCACAGATACCACAAGACCAGTGTGATGTGCCAGTGGGATGGTTTTTTCCCCTTTTTTTAAGTCTTGAAAATCTCACGTAGTTGAGTTTTTCTTGGGTTTCTGTGACAAGGGAAACTGCAGTTGCCTGGTCTAATGGAGAAAGCCAAAGACAGCCAAGGGCTGAGACTTACTCACCTGCTCAAGTGAATCAAAGACCTGGTTCTCCAGAAGCCTTAACTCATGACATCAGGAGACAGAGGACTTGAGTGAAATGAGGTACTCTGAATTTGAGGGGGAAAAGGATGAATTTACTTGTCCTGAAGAGACAGTTCCCCCTACCTTGTCCTGGCCATGCCAAATGCAAACACTGAAATGACTCTGTCAGCTCTGTCTCACAGCTTTAAGTTCTGACAGATCAGGAGTGGTGCTTCTGAGGGGAGTTTTTAGGCAGTTCAGTTTCCGTTGCATCTACAGAAAATACCAGTTAGATGGGGTTCAAGATCCCTCTTGAAAACATGATTTTACATGTCTTTGAAAAGAGAATCCTTTCTCTCTTACTGGGAACTGACATTTCTCTGCTCCCATTGCTCCAGATGAGACAATTGTGCCTCCTGACGTGCCGAGCTACTTGTCTTCACAAGGGACTCTTTCGGAGCGGCAGGAAGGGGTGGTCAGAGCAGACACCCAACAGCCCAACGGCCACATAGACAGCAACGGTGAGAAACTCTGTTTGCTCTGTAACTATCCAGCTCAGCTTGGTACAAGGAGGCAGAAATCACAGTGCAAAGTACCTCTGTGCTTGTTAGGAGTTACCTGAAAGCTCTTCCTAAGGTAAGTCTCCAGCTGCTGCGTTTCTGCAGAACGAGGCTCTGGCCTCTCCCGGCACAGCGGTGTTCGTGCAAGCAGCCTGCCTCACAAACTGCTCAGTCGGGCCCTCAGGACTATTTTTTTACTCATTTTAGATTAGTTTTTTGGCACCAGGGTTACCTGTAGTTAGGCTCTGCTAGAAAATACATTAGCAGTGCCTGTCCCTGCCTTCAGGCTTAGAAAAGTTGGGATTTTACAGCACTTAAACGCAGCACATTAGGGAGGCAAAGTTAAGTGTTCTGAACTGAGATTCTCCTGCAATTGTACAAAGTTTAGTCTGTTAAAAATTAGCTTAAAATTCTCTATTATTTTTTCTCCCTTTCACAGCTTTTACAGTAGAAATAAGATTTACTAATAAGTCATTTAACTGAGAGCAGATGGTTGCAAGCCTTAGCCAGGTGGTTTGCTTGTTACAGGTATGTGTCAGGTGGATCCTGGAAGGTGTCCAGATGCTGAAGGTCCCACCGTAGGCTGCAGACAGCCAAAGCTGTGTATCGACTACAGTAAAGACACGTGGAAGACAGAAGACATGGCTGATGGAATGCTTCTTCCAGATAAGACAGGTACAAACCCCATGAATTGGGAAAGGTGTTTTGCATTTGTACAGATGAGAAAGCCCTCCCAGTCAGACAGCATTAAGGCAAGAAACTGTTACCTTCAGAAAAAAAACAAAACCAGAATGGTCCTCGGGTGTGAGCACAGTAAATTTACTTTCTCCTGCTTGCTTGGATCCTCAGTCAAGCTCAGTTTGAATCTGAGGAGCAGGCAGCAAGAGGCAGGTGAAAGCTCATGCTGGCCATTCCTTGTGGCTGGCTGACTGGTGTTTTGATTTGAGCCGTTCCTAAAATGTGAGAGTTCTTTCGAACAGAAGGTGTTAACAGTTTACTAAGGGACTGTCAACTCCTGTCCTCAGCTTTTTTTTTTTTTTCCCCAAAAATTTAAGTGCTGGCCATTCCTTGTGGCTGGCTGATTGGTGTTTTGATTTGAGCCATTCCTAAAATGTGAGAGTTCTTTCAAACAGAAGGTGTTAACATTTTTCTAAGGGACTGTCAACTCCAGTCCTCAGCTTTTTTTCTTTTCCCCAAAAATTTAAGGGTTGTTTCAGGCACTGCACCTGCCTCTGCTCTTTGCCAGTTTCTTGGGTGTTAACACTCATACTTTTCTATTTTTGGGATACATTTTCTGTTCTCTTGCTGTATTGTAACAGAAGAACAGCCAGTGAAACAAATCTTCTCTGCAAGAGAAATGTAAAGTTTAACAATGGAAAGGTGTCGAGTGCACTAAGGAAATTAACTTTCAAAATTTAGAAACTCCTTCCTGCTTCCTTCTTTGCATTCTGCTCATCTGTTATCACCACTAACAGTAACAGCATATCCAGAGATAACAGCCTGAGTTGACAGTGATCCCTGTAAAGCAGCAGCACAAAAATAAGAAAGGTAACGTGGTATTTTAAAGCAGGTAGTACAGGAAAGTTCCAGTTCTAATTTCCCCCCTGACTAGAGAGTCTGAAAAAGGAAGTAAATGGCTAATTTATTATTAAAAAAGAAAGCCACAGCTTCTTTGGAGTGAAAAAAAACAAACCAAAACAAACAACCAGCTAAACCTTATTAACTGGAGGTACCTTTAGTGATAGCTACAGAGTTCTGAAAAGCTGCAGGTATTTACTAGCCCAGAGAAAACCAAACGTCCCCATCCCTCAGTGTGAGGTTCCCACACTGCCGAGGACAGAGGAGCTGAACAGAGCTGCCTGTTCCTTCCGCAGCTCCTGTGCTCCGGAGCTGACAGCTCCCAGCTGCTTAACCCCCTCTCTCTCCTGCCCTTCTCCCCCCCTCCCTCCCTCCAGGCTACGGCCTGCCGGTGGTGTGCGCGGACTGCAGCGGCAGCACGGACAGCATCAACCTGCACATCCTCCCCCGGGAGCCCGAGGGCTACTCCCAGGGCCCCCAGGCCACGGACGGCCCCCACCCGCAGCGCG